ACCTCTCAAAAAAATCTTGGACCTGAAGTGCAGTTTCCCAGCCTTGACAACTTTAAAGACGTATGGATTTCAACTCTCTTAATACCCCAGCCAGCATTCTTTCTCTTTGCTCTGCCTAGGTCAGACCCCACTGCAGGTTTTGCATCCAATATTGGATGCTCCATCTCAAGAAGATTCATAGAACCTGGAATGGGTGAAAAGCAATGAGAATATAGACTAACAGAGGTGGAAGGAACCTTGGAGGTCTTCTAGTTCAATGCCATGCTCAAGCAGGAGACCCTAAACCATTCTGGACAAATGGCTATCCAATCTCTTCTTACATCCTCTGGTGTTGGAGCACCCACAACTTCTGGAGGCAAACCATTCCACTTGTTCTTACTGACAGGAAATTTCTCCTATCATGTAGTTTAGAGAAGCGCAGCTTAGCATTGAATTTGCACACTTGCTAACAAATTGAAGTGGTCCAAGGCAGAGCAGAAGGCTGAGTTAGATAAAAAACTCAGGCAATCGTGACAGGCAATGACCTTCCTGAAACTCCCTTCTGTTGTTAACATGTATATGTTTTTTACACCATGTATTGGCAACATGAGATTACCAGGCATCCAGTACATGTGCCATCACCTCCAAGCACACACCATGGTATCCTTTAACTGTTGAGCCCCAATAGGATTGCAGTAGATAGCATGATCCATGAGGTGGGAGATAGACTTGCAACAGAGTTGCCATTTGCTGTACCACAGTGATGGTGTCAGTATGCTCAAGAACAGGGATCTTCAAACTTGGCCCTTTTATAACTTGTGGATGTCAACTCCCAGAATTCCTCAGCCAGGCATAAAAAGACCAAGTTTGAAGACCCCTGCTCAAGAAGAATGACAAGGCTAGACTTCATTTTGACTTTCCGCCTTGTAAAATGGAAGGAGAATTTCCCAATGACAAAGAGTGTAGTTGGTTCTTCGCATACTGGTGAACCGCCTCACCATTGGCCATACACATGGGGATGACTGGGAACTGAAGTTCAACAGCATCTGAAAGGCCACATGTCCCTCATATTTCATGCAATAGATAAGTAGATTGCCTACCTAGCTTCATTATTCTTTTCTTCCAAGGCATCAAGTTCAAACTAGGGCAAAGCAAAATGGCAGATCTATATAGCTAGCATAGCGTAGAGATGAAGGTGTCAGAATTGAAACGAGGTTCAGATTCCAGTTTCCAATGGACATGGAGTTGACTGGGTGATTTTGGTTAGTGTCATTTCTGTGAGAAAATAAATAAACTCCACAGGACTAGAATGATACTATAGCAGTAGGTTATAGTAACAGAATCTTTTAAGTCTGATTGTACTATTCTCTCTTCTATATCCATCAAGTCAGGGAGAAGCCAGCCTTAGCATCTTTCTAATATCATCTCTGTTCCCAGGACCTAAGCAATGCTTTTGTCCTTTCTTTGCTTAAATAACAGTTTCTGAATATTTGCTTCAGTGCCACTCCGCTGGGTCTCAACAGCAGCTTCTCATTTTTTAGCCGGACCAATCTGTCAGAGAAATTATTGCAGAGATAAAATTAGGGGAGAGCCCCTAATCATTATGTTGAATTCTTAAAAGAAAGGCAAGCATCAGTGCAGTAAAAAAAAAACATTTATGTTGGCTAAATGTCTAGGGAGATTCTCAGTCATCCAAGTCATGGTTGTCTCAAAGGTGCTTTTTCAAAAGGCAATTCGACTTTCTTTGTTTTTCCTTGAAGATATTTTGCTTCTCATCCAAGAAGCTTTATCGGTTCTGCCAGGATGGTGGGGGGATGGAAGGATTAGTTCTGAAACCCCACCCCCATCCTGTCAGGACTGATGAAGCTTCTTGGATGAGAAGTGAAATGTCTTTACGAAAAAGCAAAGGAACTCCAGTCGCCTTTTGAAAAAAAGCATCTTTGAGACATCTATATTGGCTTGCAGAATGTTTACTTGAATAGGGTTCTTGACAGACTGATTCTTAAGATGTATTAGAATTCCATACAAATTTTCATCACCACTGCAAATGCTCTAATTATGAAGACATTTATTCACAATTTGTTCATTTCAATATTAATGATCTTATTTGATTGGTTGATTGGGATCAACAAGACAAACAACTTAAGCACTTACGTTTCTGGATCATCTAATGGTGCTGCTCTTATTACTCCTTTGAATATTGCATGAATCCTAATAGTATTTGCTTCTGGTGATACATTTTTGGGCAAGATCTGGCCGGAGGGACATAAAGCACTAGGCTGCATGTATGTGTTCAGAGCTGCATTTTTTGAAAGATGGAGTAATGCAATGTCAAAGCTGCCAAGGAGCAGAGAAACCGGAATTGAAGAGAAAAAGAGTGAAGATTTGTCAGAAACAAGAATATAGGCCTGTTTTGTATTAAATAGTACTGTGGCAAATATACCACACTAGTTCTCTCGTTGCCCATTGTCTTCAGCAATCAGATGGAGAGTAGAGTTTCCAAAACCAACATTCATGATCTGGCAATATAGGGGTTTTTTTGTGCCTTCAAGTCAAACTTGACTCCTAATGACAACATTGGCAGATTTGTGCAATTTTCATGGCAAGATATTGGAAGTGGTTTGCCCTTGCGTGCTTGCTAGAGCGGAGAGAATATGACTGATCCAAGGTCACAGAGCTGGCTACAACTCACGTCTCCTTGGCTCTGTCCTGGTCCTTTAATCACTACATCAGAGCGATCCCTCCCTGGCAATGATTAGATATTTCCCAGTACTACAGACATTTCTTCCATTTACTTGATCCAAATCATGGACAGAATCTCTGGTTTGCAATGACTAGAAGTTACTTGTGTCCAATATTTGGGCAATGTGGTAAGCCACAAGCCAGGTGCTGCAGAACCTTCAAGGACAACCTGGGCAATAGTTCAGCACATTCAGAACCCAACTATCCAATAACTGGCATAATTGCAACCTTTATCACAAATTCAAACCTTCTCATTGGTTTAGCTTCAATTGACTGGCCCCTACTCATCAGGAGTACTTTTTTTTTTTTGAGAATAACCTCCAAGAAAGTCTCAAAGTCTCAGCATACTTATTGACCTAAAAAAAATTAAAAAATTAAACTTAAAAAGTACATGCGTATGACCTAGCAGTTTTCAGGACAACCCCACCTTAATCTTCAGCAACATTATTCCTATTCCACTTTGGATGCACAAAGATCTGTTCCACCCTTAGGAACTTCTCAGTTCCTTTATTCTTATAAATATTGTGGTCACCAGCCACCAGACAGAAATACATTCTTCTATAGATAAGAAGCCAAGAAAGTAGAATGGAGTTGTGTCAAAAACTTCACTTACAAATATTGTCCAATAAGGAACAGAAGTAGCAAAGTGAGGCAAAGAGTTTCATTTTATGACAATTAATAGGAGTCATTTCCTACTTTCATAGCACTTGGTAGCCCATGAAAATGCCCCACTAAACAATGTTTTTGAGTGCAATTTGGCTGCAGCATTTTCAAAATTACACTTAGCTAAAACATGTTCCTTATAAAGACAGCTAAAAAGATATTTGCAGCCAATCCTTTTCTGTCAGCCTTGCAAGGTAGTTCAGACAAGCACAATTACCAGTATTAACTCTATCTTTATTGCAAGGTTATATTAACAGAATCTTGCCAAGACTGAAAGTATTTCTCTCCCTCCCCTTCTTTTATTCTCTGGAAAACTAGGGGGAGGGAGGTCCCTTCTGAAATGCTTCCCATGTTTTTCTCCCATCTGCAGATTAAATTGCCTCTTATCAGACCACTACCTAGTTCTTCATTCTTTCTCCCAAGGTCATTTCCACATACCATTTCATTTTCACAGGAGGATTCCAGGTATAGTTGCTTTATTAATATTTTGCATTGGTGACCTGGAGAACTCTAAGCAGTTGAATAAAATCAATCAATTACAGAAGTCATGTTTGCATAATGTCTTATGTTTCAGAGAATTTAACTTTCTTTCTATGGAAAAATACCTGGAAAAGCATTAATGAAAATGAACAAAGTAAGAGATATGAGTAGAGGGTTTTCAGGGAGCACTAGTCAATACAAAGTTTAATCTGACCAATATTAAAAATAACCAAAATATGTTGATTCCACTAGATGGGAACTATTGACTCTATGTGTGATGTAGGGATATAAATTATTCATCTGTGAACCATGTTTGTGAACAGAGTCTGAAAAGATGAAACATATTTTGGAAGAAGCAATAAAAAAAATAAATCTCACATGCTCTTCCAGCCCAGTTTCATTTACAACCAGGGCTTTTTTTCTCATAGAATGCCTAGAACGGAGTTTGGCACATTTTTTGAATGAAACCTTGTAGGGTAGGCAAGGTGGGTTGTATGACGTGTGTGAGTTCCGCCACCTTTTTTTTTTTTTTTAGAAAAAAAGCACTGTTTACAACCATTCATTTAGTGATCATTAGAAGTTACAATGGCACTGAAAAAAAGGGACTTACAACCAGTTTTCACACTTATGACCTTTGCAATATCCCCATAGTCATGTGATCAAACCTCAGGCGCTTGACAACTGCCATGTATTTATGACAACTGAACTGTCCCGGGGATCATGTGACCACTGTTTGTAACCTTCTCAGCTGGCTTCTGATGAGCAAATGGGGGAAGCCAGATTCATTTAATGACTGCCTGATTCACCTAACTACTGCAGTGATTCGCTTAACAACTGTGGCAATAAATATTGTAAAATGGAATCAAACTGCCTTGCTTAGCAACATAAATTTTGGGCTCAGTTGTGGCTGTAAACTGAAGAATAGAATAGAATAGAATCTGGAAGGGACCTTGGAGATCTTCTAGTCCAGGCCCCCCCCCCCCCAAGCAGGAAAACTACTTGTATAGCTTGTATGACTCCCAATCTCCTTTAAATGAAATAGTGTCACTGAAGAATGGAGCTGGGGGGGGGGGGGGAGTGTGCTCTATAAAGAAATGCAGAATAATAGTGAAAAGAAAATGAACCCAACACAGAAATAATTTTCTCATAAAATAGTTATCAGCTTTATTATTTCCAGTCAGGATTACCAGAGCAAGACTTTGTTTCAACTGAAATTTTTTCCCCTGCAAATGAACCAAAACCTTCTGCATTCAAAATCTAAGTCCTTTCACTGTGTCGCCATTCTTCAAAAATGCTAAAATAATTGTACAGAAACCAGCCTTGTCCCTTACAAAATGGAAAGATGGAATCGTGCACAGATAGATTTTGATCTGTATTGTCAACCAATCAACATTTAAAAGTTTGGTTTGTTCATAAAACACCCAGTACTTACAAAAATCCAGAATTTATTTTTCCCTTTGGACTTATACATTCCATTGAAGGTGAAAATGCTAGTTATTTATAAATTACAAGTATTACCAGCATTGTCAGTTATGAGAAAGTTAGAGAGAGGATTCTTTCCCTCCTGCCCCTTATCTGAGGAAATTCAAGAAATGTACATCTGAGTGTTTTCTTAAAAACATTACAAACAAGTAATAAGGGGCAATTTTTTGGTTTAGCAGATCACTGTGATTAGCAGTAACCATGATCACTTTACTGGAGTTGCTTTCCTGGTGGGTATTTCTTGTCAACAAAATGCAAACACAAATGTACACAGACACACCCAAAATTTGGTTTTTGAGTTACTTTAACTCCCATCGCTCATGTGAGTAAGCAATTAGTTTGGCAGCTAGTTTCTCATGAGATACAGCTTCTTGCTCTGCTAGTATTTTGTTTTTGTTTTTTTTAAGGCACATTAGCAGCTTTCCTTATTCCCGGCACTGCAGTGTACAGCTAAGGCTGTGGATGTATCTGAAATCAAGCCAGATACCATCTCACCACTGCAATCTAAGAAAGTCAGGCTGGGTCGTGTTTAGTCATGAAGAATGGAAGCAAGTGGCAGCCTTCCGAAGGCCTAGGCCAGGGGTAGGCAACCTTGGCTCTTTTATGACTCGTGGACTTCAACTCCCAGAATTCCTGAGCCAGCTAAAAGAGCCAAGGTTGCCTACCCCTGGCCTAGTCAGTAGGAGTTAGGAGAAGGACAAAAGGCACCTGAAGCTTAGATATGGGGCCATTCAGAAGTGACAAAACCTTACTGCATTCCTTCTCAATTTGCTGGGAGAGGACTGAACAGCTAGAAGACACAGTTTTAATTCTTCCACAGTGTCATCAGTTGCTACCTGCAGCATGCTGGCAAAAATTCCAAAGCGTGAGGTAAAACACAGGCCGCAACCTGTGCAAAGGGGCTAGGATTTCAGTCGCACAACAACACTGCAGGCCAAGCAGTTACCATTTTAATTGCAGATGGCTGCACTGAGCCTTTGGAAGCCTTTGCTGCTCACCTGCATGTCAGTGCAGAGACCTTTAAGACAGTTGAGAAAGCATTAGAATTGTGGAGATTTTTCCTTCCAATGCTCAGTATTGTCAGAAGCCGTGTTTCCTATGTAACATATTAAAGTCATTATCTTTGGCATCCAATTATTCTCTAAACTATACACAGACAATTTATTCCTTAGGACTGAGCCTCAAATCACTACTTCCTATAATACAACATAAAAAATTAGGGAAATGTTTTGAGTTCACATCTGGCCGATGGCCACCTTTTCTCTATAGCCCTATGAACATCACCAGTATAGTTTGCCTCAGAGTGTGGAACTTTGACTGATAATATATCTAGTATTCTAAAGAGCAAACATACCAGCTTGTTATTTTTTTTTTATCAAGAAAGCCCAAATAAACCGAAATACTAAGGTTGGCTGTTTTGACCTTCTTATTACAAAAGGCACAAGAGTGTTGTTACAGGCAAATTTTGGGTTATGCAGCAAATTGGTTCTCCTTCTTGTTTCCTGAAATGTACTGTTGCTGGAAAGTGAGTTCAGAAGAATGGGAGCTTTGACAGGAGATGCATTCCAGAGCTGCTTGGGTCTTTTTCTTGGCCTCTTTAGCTGAAGTGCCAAATCTGATGAGCATCTGCAGTGTTGCAGGGAGTCATGGATGGATGCTCACCTCTTGCAGACAAACACCAATTAATTGCTACATTCTTAAGCAGGTGATCCTAAAACAAAACAAAACAAAAAAACAAACAAAAAAAAGGCATACTGTTGAGATAGAACATATCAAAGACTCCACTGGCTAAGGTGGCTAGGAATTCTGGGAGTAGAACTTTAATATCTCTTTTTTGTTTCTTGGAGGGAAATTCTAAAGCTAGAGGTTCTGTTAAGCCAGGAAGGTGCTCTACACCGGGGGTCTTCAAATTTGGCCCTTTATGACTTGTGGACTTTAACTCCCAGAATTCCTCAGTCAGCATGCCTCTGCTCTACACAAAAGGACAGGGCATGCTGGACATGCTTTCACGCGGACCACCTTCCAGTCTGGGCTCCCATGTAATCAACCTATGCCCTACCCTTTGAGAAAAGTGGTGCAGTTAAAGCTAGTAACAGCCACATTTAATATCACCACCTGGAGCACACTCAAACCACTTCCTGTGTAGCAGGTAGCAAAAGGAGGAGAACTTCTCTCATCTGCAGGTGTGAGGGGGAAAAGCAATTCTTTTATGTGCAGATATGGGTGGAAATATATCCCTCCCAGCTTCTGCACTGACAAAATCATGATATCTGAAGATGGAATTAGACTTCCGCTTCTTAACCCTCCATGACATCATCTGAACTGCCAATGCTGGTTCACATCTGGAGGGCTTAACCAAACAGCCTCTTTTGTGAAAATTTATCTTTCTTTAAAAAAACCTTCTATGGACTTTGGAGAAAGACAAGGGATGAGGAGATTCACAAGGTTTCAGCAACATTTAAGTACACACATGAACTATCTCCTTAAATATTTATCTGGTCTTGAAACTTCATTTAACTCCCACAGCTACAAAATGAAAACTGAGCAGCTCTTCTGGTTGACTGCTAGGTGATGGTTGTTGTTTCTCTCTCTCTTCAGAATAAAATCAGGCAATGGTTAAGAATACGGTTGATTGGGCATTAACTCCAAAGAGGATTTAAGGAATTCTTAAAAAAAAACCCCATTTTTCAAATGTTTAATTTGGCTTCACTGCATCAATAAGCATGCCTAGCTAGTGTAATCAAAATTTGGCAGACTCCTTCTGTTCAAATGTCTTTTGCTATTTTGCCCAAAGTTGCCTGATAGTGACATGGGCAGCATATAAATTAAATATATAAATTTCACCTTTCCCCTTATCCAGCTTTTTTTTACTCTCAAAGAAAACTGACAGAAATCTAATTTTATCCTTCCTTCCTTCCTTCCTTCCTTCCTTCCTTCCTTCCTTCCTTCCTTCCTTCCTTCCTTCCTTCCTTCCTTCCTTCCTTCCTTCCTTCCCTCCCTCCCTCCCTCCTTTCTTTTTATATATCTGCCCATCTCACAAATAGGACTCTGGGTGACATACAAAAAATCTGAACATACAAAAGATGGGATACCATAGTTTTTTTTTTAAAGCAAACATACCATAATAAAAGCAACAATATTATTAAAAAGACTAGGAAAAAGCATCTTCAAATGTTACAAGCAATGTAGCCATCTCAGTAAATTTAATTTCCCTTAAGCCTTTTGACATAGCCACATTTTGAGGGATTTCTGGAAGCTACCGAGGATGGGGCCAGCCTCACCTTGGATGAGGATGTTCCAGAGGCCGGTGCCATGGCAGAAAAAGCCATGATCTTTGTAGCAGAGACTGAAGTCATCATCTATGGCTTCAGGTATTTCCTAAAGTTCTTATTACCACCAGCCACCCTCATATGCTACTCTTGCTTCAGATTTTCTTTTGAAGGAAGAGCTCAGTTTTTTCACAGTAATACAAATGGGGACCTACAAAACTGACTCTGAAATTGTATTTTTAATTGTCAGTGCAATTTTAGTAACCAGATGTGTTAATAGACTTCTTACCAGGAAAGGCATTATGTTCTGAACTGTCTTTTATATGAATTCTATGTAATTGTATAGTTCCCAGCCACAGTAAGAAATATTTGGCTGGCAAGTAATGTGAGACTGGCTGCAGGCAGAAATAGCTGATCTGGAAAGAGATGAGTTAAAGAAAAGCATATTTATCTGAAACTTCACAGATTAAACTCACATGTGTCAGTTCCCATTCTTCATTTTCTGGCACTCGGGAGTGTTTCCCTGTATAGTGACAGTCTCCCAACTCAACAGCCCCCTTCTTGGCTCGGAGGCAGAGCTGCTTGCCAATGTTGTGTCGCAGATCTCGCTGGGATGTGTATTCAAAATACTAAAAGCAAAACAGGGAGGGATAAGAAGCTTTTACTATTAGAAACAAAGCCAAAATTTTAATATTTTTCTAAAGGAGATTTTAATACTCCACTACACCAACATTGTTCATTACATTTCTAGACTTTTTTGTCTTCCCAAATCACTGCACCATCTCCATATATTTCCTACATTGCCATTCACTCTTTAGAGTGCCTCCCTCCTCCTCCTCCTCCTCCTCCTTCTCTCTCTCTCTCTCTCTCTCTCTTTTAGGATCTCATAAACTCCATCCAACTACTATTTTTTCAGCTCTCCATTTTCTCTCAGCTCATTTACTTTTCCTTCAGATACTTAAATTATTCCTTGTCTATATATGACCAAACCTCTCCATATATTTCTTTTATACAGGTAGTCCTCAACTTACAACAGTTCATTTAATGACCATTCCGCACTGAAACATAACTATTTTTCACACTTATGACCGCTGCAGCATCCCCACATCATCACATGACCAAAATTCAGATGCTTGGCAACTGACTCATATTTAGGACGGTTGCAGGGTCACGTGATCACCTTTTGTGGCCTTCTGACAAGCAAAGCCAGATTCACTTAACAACCATGTTTCTAACTTCACAACTGCAGTGATTCACTTAACAGCTGTGGCAAGGAAGGACATAAAATGGGGCAAAATTCACAATAGCCGTCTCGCTTAGCAACAGAGATTTTGGGCTCAATTGTGGTCATAAGTCGAGGACTATTTGTACTGATTACTTTCTATTCAGGCTACGTTCATCCATCCTTGACCCTCTCTCTTTTTGGACAAACCAGCTTCTTAAATAACCCATTCAACTTACTTTGTGCCTTCCTGACATTTCAAATTCCCACTAATAAAAAAAAATGGGCAGAGGTTTACTCTTATAAATAACAGTGAGGTTGTTGAGGTCTTATCCCAGCATTTAGAATCTGGGCAGGGCTGGGTTGGATGGAACTGATTCGAAATCAATCCTACCAAGACTGAATGCATATATATTAGGATCCCATGGACCCAGGGAGTTTCATCTAAATTCTTGTATAAGACTTCTCCCTTCAGGAGTGGTGCACCATCTGGGCCTTCTCTTGAGCTAAGCTTCTTCTTAAAGAGTAAGAGGCAAGTGGCAGCTGTGACCAAAGGGGCCTTTGCACAGCTCCATGTGGTGCACCAGTTGCACTTTAGCTTGGATTGGAAGGCCCTTTGGTCCATCGCTCATGCCCTGATCCCCTCCCAGCTTGGCTACTGTGAGCTGTGGGCTGGACCTTTTGCTCCCAATCAGCACCGCTTGGAACGGGTCATGGAGGAAGGAGGTGAACCAGCACAAAAGTGTGCCCCCCTCCATCCCCAGCTGATCCAAAAGGATACCAAAAGGATCCAATGGTATCGAAGGCTGCCCAGAAGTCAAAAAGAACCAGGATGGATGTACTACCTCCATCCCGCTCCTGCCAGAGGTCATCCAAAAGCCTGACTAACACAATTTCTTTCCTGTATTTGGGCCTGAAACCTGACTGGAAGGGATCCAGATAATCCATCTCATCCAAGCTCCTCTACAGCTGCATTGTGACCATCTTCTCAACCACCTTCCCTAAGAAAGAGGAGGTGGGAGACTAGATAAAAATCAATGAGAACAGTTAGATAAATGTTGGAGTTCTTAGAACTTTGAATATTAAGATCTTTAAATGTATGCCTGTGGGAAAGAAAAAACGTTTTGAGATTGAACTAGGGTCTAGGAAACTAGGAACATCTTTAAGGAAGTGCACAGGGACCCGCATCATGAATTTGATTCAATGTCATCCACGTTGTGCCTTCTTGGGAAGAGCTTGTTTCTAGATGAAGATGTTTACAGAACGAAATATGCAGCAAAAATTATTTGAAGAAAGTATGAATGAGAATCTGAATAAGAAATTGTCACCAGATATAAAGAAAAAAACTGGATGAGGTTTTAAAAATGAAGGATATGAAAACGATAATCCCAGAGAATGGTTGGAATAATTTCCTTTTGTTGTATTTATAAAACAGACAGTTGTAAAGAAATTTGCAATAACGATCGACAACCATCTCAATGGATTACAGAGAAAGACTGCCCTGTATAAAAGATAAAGGATTACAAAGTTGGTTTATTCAACCAGGGATAAAATGAGATATGTTATTTCGGGTGGCTTTTTCTGGATTTATTCTTAATTTAATTGGAAAAATGTGTTATACTGGATTTGCTTACATTTACTGTAATATGATGTAAAAGCTTTTTCCTATACTTATTTTATGTAATCCTAACTTTATACTACATAAACTGGCTTTGCATTTAACTGGTGTTTTTTTTTAAATTTAAACTAAGAAAGTTTAGAGGACTTGTCTTTTTAAAGGAAAATTATTTCTCGCTGTTACATTATAGTCTTGTTTATATTAGGATAATGGGATTACTTTATTTTGAAATGTGGGTGTGTTTATAGTTTAAAGTGGAAATATGGAATGTTTATTTGAACACGGTAAGTTGATAAAATTGTGTATGAGAGCTTGTCCTTTATAAAGGAGAAATGGTCTCTTTTTGTCATGTTAAAATTGGATTGTTTTGTTTATATTATGATATTGGGACCATTTTATAACTTTAAATAGGATTTTCTTATGGTTGAGATATGGAATGTTGAGTTTTATATATATTAATGTTAAAATCCCAGATATTTGTTTAGATCTTTTACTGGCAACAGGTTTGAAAGAGACATTACTTATTGATTTGCCTATCATTAAGAGGTAGGTTATGGGTGGAAAGTTTTATATTTGTTAGCTAAGAGGAGGTGAAGAGATCATGAAATTGTTTATACTTGCCATAATGGTGGTGGGAACTCACTTTCTTGAGGGGAGGAGGGTTTTTTTTAAACTTTCTTTTCTCAGTCTGTTCCTGTCTCTCTCTCTTTCTAAAGATAATAGTTTTATTATTCTAGTTAAAACTTAATATTTTTTTTTAAAAATAAATCTCTAAAATAACTCATTCTCTCACTTCAGTCTCAGTCAAAATAATGTCTTCCCTTTTGCTGCAATTTTATCTACTCTGCTGAATATTCATTATTTAGCCCTCTTCTAAAGCAATTTTATTTTCATCATATCTGTCTGTATTTCATCTGCTCTTTTAATCTTAGCTGTCGCTTATTGTCATTGTTCTTAGAAATGATCTTTTTTGTGATATATAATTTCTCATCCACATTTCTACAACCGTCAGCCATTCATAGCAACTTTTACCTCATAAATTTTAATATTTCATATTACTGTAACTCCCAATGCTTCCATGGCTCTTTGCAGCATACCTTTCCAAGCAACTTTAACATTATGCTTCTTTATATCTATTTTTCATTCCTCTATGTTCTAGTTATAGTATTAATCCATGTTCTAATACTTCCTTCATAAAAGTATGGAATACTTTCAATTCCTGCAATCATTCTACTTTCAGCAAAGATTCTTTATTTGCTTCCTCTTTTTGATAACCTGGGTTCAATGTTTGCAGGAAGAGAGATAAGAGGTACATTTTCACGAAGCCCATACCTGGTTGCCTCCCATCCCATGACAGGGATACAAAATTAAAGGCTTTCCACCATGGTTGTTTTCTCCAACATCCAGGCACTGCTGAGCACCTTCATTTCTAATCTGTAGTGGAATAGATTTAATAAAATTAGGAGCATATTAACTGAACCCATACAAAGCTTCGAGTTTTAGCTAAACACCTTAGACAAGAGTGCTTTTTAAATTTTGCGTTCTTTTACTAGACATATAAATTCTTTTATCTCCCTTCTGAGTTCAATTTGCCTCTAAGTACTTTACACTGACAAGAGTCAATAAATCCTTTTAGGAATTAGAATATTTATGAACATTCAAATACTCAGTCAATGGCAAGAACAGCTTGAATGGGAAATGCACACTCAAATAAAGATAAATTTGTTTCCTTAGGTCTTTCAATCAGCTGTAAGCCAGCTTGAGAGTGCATTTATAACACATACACACACACACACACACGAACACACACACACAAACACACACACACACACGAATATATCAAATTCATTTAGTCCCCAGATTGAGTTGCAATCCTCCAACAACTTTAGACTTTAAGATCTTCTTCATTCTCTTGATATATTCACTTCTAACCTTCTTTTTGACTTCAGTGTGCTTGATATTGCTAGATGCCCACATAATTGTAGTGATTTTATTCATCCAGACACCCTGTTATTTCTATAGGTTATCTTGATAAGTTGTATTTTCACTTACCGCTCCATAGAAAGCTGGAGTGAGGTCTGGAATGAAGATCTCAGGATAGACAGTTTGCAGATACCAAGTGAAATTTTTACAGTGTAGCTTTTCCTTCAACTGCAATCGTTCACTGAGGTCTCCATATGTTTTCTAATAAAGCCATAACATGTGCATGTTTAAAAAGAATCACATAAAGCAAACAAAGGAGTTATTTTCAGTTTGTTTACTAGAATAACTAATCTAATATGTCTTTATTCTTTGATTTGCTTAATCCATGGATTAAATTTGAGACAGTTCCAGCTAAAACTTGACTTCTATGCTTACTTTCAGATATTGAAATTTCTCACCCTGAGATCTACCAAGTTACTCTCCCTCATTAGATCCTGGAAGTCCTTAAGGATAAAGCTATAACTTGATTTTATAATCTATAAACTGATCTGTTTTTGTACCAAATCTCTTGCTAGTCACTCCAGTTCTAGACATGAGGTCACCTCAGGGTGTCTAAGCCTTTGAAATAATAATTGGAAAATACTCTAAAATTTCTCTTCCTTTGGTAAGGTTCCCAGCAACTATGCTGGAGAATCTCGCCTTTCTTTAGCAGAAATAGAATCCATTAAACCAAATATTTAGAATTTAAAGACAAGACCTACCAATTTTGTACATTAAGGGAAGTAGATCTCAAGGAAAGTACTTCATACCTCTCTGGACATCTGGGAGGCCTGTTGGTTCCTTCTGTAGAAGATTTCCTTATAGTCATCCATCCAGACTTCTGCCAAGCGCACCTGATTCCTAGAAATGACTTGAGTCCCTTTGGGGAAGGTGTGTGGACTCTTGGAACGGAATACATGGCCAACTACGGAGCAGGGAATAATCTCCAGCTGGCCTCCACACTGCCAGACCTGAGGGGAAGAGAAAACATTCAAACCACTAGAAAAGTGGTTCTCAACCTGTGGGTCGGGATCCCATTTGGGGTCGAACGACCATTTCACGGGTGTCGCCAAACAATGCAGTCCGCCATTTTTCCCCCCTTTTCCTTAGCTGTGCTACTCCCTTTTATTCTATTGGCTTTCGAAAGCCAATAGAATAGACTCTCTTGAATAGAGTCTAATTCTATTGGCTTTCAAAAGCCAATAGGAATGTCCAGGCTGTCTCTGCCCTGCTGAGCCCGCCAAAAGTCCCATTCTGCAAATGGTGCTGCACCAGTTGAGTAGTCCTCGACTTACGAGCGGTTGGGGGGTCGCGGCATTAAAAAGGTTGAGAACCACTGCACTAGAAAACCCCAAAGTCATGTGCTGAATGTCAGAGTCAGGCAAAGGAAATAAGATGTAAAATTCACACGCCTTTTCTTTTTAAAAGAGGAACCGGGAATCAGGATCAGATTCCAGCCACCTAAAAGCAAGCCCCTTCAAGAGAGAGGCTGCCATCAAGCAGCAGAAGGAGCTTTTTCTTAGGAGGATGAAGTGGCGGCCTTGTGCTTGCAGGCAGTAACTTAAGGAGAAAAGATCTATACCAGGGGTAGTCAACCTTGGCTCTTTTATGACTCGTGGACTTCAACTCCCAGAATTCCTGAGCCAGCTGAGCTTAGCTGGCTCAGGAATTCTGGGAGTTGAAGTCCACGAGTCATAAAAGAGCCAAGGTTGACTACCCCTGATCTATACCTTTCAAGTCTGATACCAGTTTTTTCCCCTAATTTAAAAGAGAGAGGTCCTTTCTGGAATCCTGCCCCAGAAAACCAAGGAGCTCCCAAGATCAACAGCATTCCAAATCTGAGGAAGTGCAACCCTCTAATCTCCTCTGACCAAAACCTGGGACTGGTTCAACCCAGAATGGATCACTCTCCAAAGAATCTTAATCTCGGAGGGGTATAGCTTTAGTTAAAGATTTACTCAACCTGCAACTGGATTGGATAAGTAATAAAATAAACAAAATAAGCAAAACATGTAATCTTCTCCCATCTGGGAGCCATTCTTAGCCACTGAGGACCAGGAGAAAAATCCAACTTTATCTAATTTAATTTAATTTAATTAGTAATACGTTTGTGAATTAAGGAATACACTAAACGTGTAATAAATAATTTCATCTCTGACACATTAAAACAACTTGGTAGCCATTTTTAACAAGGCCACAAGCAAGGCTTGGGAGGCAAGTTCATGTTTGTGCCTTGGGATTTACATTCATACTTAAGGACTCTGGTTCTCTCTTTGGCTGAAAAACTGAGCCCATACCTCTGCCATCCTTGGTCTTGCAAAACATGTTCACCGCTAGGATTGATTTTTGTCTTATTATTTTTAATAATAATATTTTTAATGCTAGGTGAGAAAATGTCACCAGAGCAAAAGTAAAGCAGAAAGCACACATAAACATTTGCATTAACCTGGATGGATAGTGACCTTGAATTTAACATTAGGCCTGACTTTAGTTAGACAAAAGCTAAACAAATGCTTCTGTGTTTTCATTTAATCTGAGACAACTGTCTCATTTTAAAGGTACCTATTGAAGGGAGAAAAACTTATATTTGTTTCAAGTAGCTACAGGAAATTGCAACGCAGAACCAGAATTTCTTAACCTCATTTAAAAAAAACAAACACCAGTATTCCTGTTTCTCATGTTCTTTTTTGCCACAAGGTGGCACTCCACACAGCATTTTATATCTTGCTTTAAACATTTTTTGAAAAAAACTCTATGTGCAAAGTTACCAACAAAGCATCCGCTTAAACATCTGCACTGCAAAATATATATTAAGAAAAAAACTTCTGTACATCCTTAGTTTATTTCTTCTTCATTATGATCAAATGCATACTTAGAGAAACAAATTATAATTCATTGTATCTTCAATATCAGTTGATAGAACACTGCTCTTAAACTGGGAGTAATTGTGGAGGATCCTGGGGGTAATGGAACCATTTGTAATTGCTTGTTTCTAAGCTGAGGATCCAGTTTGGGACTGCTGCTGTCAAGATGCTTGTGTAAAACAGCAGGATGTGTGTGTGTGGGGGGGGTTGTGTGGGGGTAATGATTTGAAAGCAGGAAAAGTGGTAATTGGGCCAAACAGTTTAAGAACCAATGCTATGGCATCAATGCACCTGCATGGTAATCACTGTCCCTGGATTGGACAGCAAATGAAAGTTTTACTCCCAGATGGACAGTCGGTACTACAAATCCAAATACAAAGAAATAGTCAGTCAGCCTCATGTTTTGTTTCCATAGCAACAGAGCCATTTTTTTAAAAAAATACTACGGTACTTTGTTTACTACTTCTGCTTTCTTTACTTTTTTTACGGCTTTCTTTACTACTTCTATTTTCTTCCCTTTTCTTTCTTTTTACTGCTTTCTTTATTATTACTTTCTTCTGCTGCTATTGCTACTACTATCACACTAACACCATTCCGTTTTGAAAGCACAGAGCTAGGATATTGTGCACAGGATATATGTAATCAATCCCACGTTGACCTATCCTGATTTTTAAATTTATTGTGACAAATTCTATGCACTGTTAGGTTATATGATACTGCTACTACTTTACACCATATTCACCCCTTTTAAGAGTTAGGTTGTAAATACAACCAAAATCATAACAAAGCAGAAATAAAATAATCCTTATATGAAGAAACATGACAACAACTTTGTTGGTCCATTTAAAGCAGCAGTCCCCAACCTTTCCACCTTGGTGGCCCAGACCAGGGCTTGTGTGTGTGTGTGTGTGTGTGGCAGGTGCCCGTGTACACATACAGCTCCATTGGTGTGAGCTTTGCATGCAAGCACCATCTGTTCGTGTGAATGAAGCTTTGCCTGCAAACACAAGCGCCTTCCGCTCATGCACAAAGCTTCATTTGTGTTCTGCTTGCGTGAATGGTGGTGCTGTATATTCGCCTTTTAATTAGTTTATAGATTTTCACTCTGAAATTTTCATATTTTTCAAGATATATATGCAATCTAGTTCTCTCATGGAGAAAGTAAACCAACAAATCTAACTCCAAAATCCTGAATCAGCATATCAGACAATGATGGCGAACCTATGATACCTGTTCAAATGTGACACGCCATGATGTTTTGGGTGACACGCTAGTGTTTGTCAACACCTAAAAATGTCTCAAAAGTATGCTCTGTTCTCAAGCAATATTCAGAGGCTGTGCAAGAATGGGATGTCCTTTCACACAGCCTACAGACTTTCTGAAAATGAGTTTTACTCCTATTTCATTTTTGCAATTATTTGATATTATAATATATAATGTCTATGTTATACAACACATAGTGCCACCCATGCTTGCACTGTTATTTTTTTAAAAAAATAAATGAATATATAAAGAATTGTTTCTCTTTTTTTCAGGGGGTGCAAGGTGTGTGACATCCCAGCAAAGTCAAGTTAGGCATTTTCCAAATTTTTGACACGTGGAACCCAAAAGGTTCACCATTACTGATATCAGGCAATAATAAATTGATTACCTCTCATTTACTCTCTAAATATAGTTTTTTCAGAGAACTGGTAACCCCCCTTTAAAAAAAAGTTATATCTAGACAATCATATTCCACTACCAAGGAATATTTTGTAGCTTTCCTTCTTACCCGAAAAGACATCTCCACATTTTCCCCTCCCCAGATTTCCATCTGATCATCATAGGAGCCAATATGTTCAAAATAGGACTTGGAAATCGCAAAGAGACCACCGGCAAATGTAGGAGTCCTGCAAAAAGGAAGAAGCATAGGAATATTATGAAAACACCGATAAGCAAATTATTTACTGAATGGAAAAAAATGAAATCAGTCTTCATTCTCTCTGCAACTCTAAGTGAAATGTCAAGGAAAGCTCAAACCGGGCTACAAGCTGCGCCGTGGTGGCAGAGTGGTTAGAATGTAGTACTGCAGGCTGATTCTGTTCACTGCCAACAGTTCGATCCTGATCGGCTCAAGGTTGACTCAGCCCTTCCATCCTTCCAAGGTCAGTAAATAAAATGAGGACCCAGATTGTTGGAGGCATTATGGTGAGTCTGTAAACTGCTTAGAGAGAGCTGTAAAGCACTATGAAGCGGTATATAAGTGCTAAATGCTATAGTTACAATGGCTAAAATAGGGAAAAATTGTATGGCACTCCAGATACTGTTGAATTTCTAGTGTCTCCATTTAGCGTAGACAACAGAAGGGTGCTAGGAGATACTGGAGTCTAGACCAGTGTTCCCAAACTTGACAATTTTAAGGCATGTGGACTTCAACTCCCAGAATTCCACAGCCAGCAACGCTGGCTGTGGAATTCTGGGAGTTGAAGTCCACATGCCTTAAAATTGTCAAGTTTGGGAAACACTGCTCTAGAGAAGCCTTGATCAAAGCAGATTACATAAATTGGAAGGCAAGGCTTTCTCAGCACTATATCAAAAGCAACTTTCAAATAGCCTTGTACTGAAGCAACCTTTGAGAAGTGATCTCAGGCTTTTACTATAGTACTTCGTTTCAGGGTTTTTTTTTTGGTTTTTTTTTTTAGAAAACAGGTATGGCAAAAGATGTGAGGATGGCTGGAATATTTGAATATTCAAAATACATAAATGATATTTTAATGTTTTTTCCACTGATTGTCCAAAAAGCTGAACCTCTGTGTAGCTTCTAGTTCTCTATCAAGTATCCTAAACATCTTAGTTTTTTGGAATTACATGGAAAGCATCTTTGGTATAAAAGGAAGCACAAAAATGGAATTTTAAGAAACAAAAGCGTTAAACTAAACACACACCCTCCCCAAACAGTACCCACAATTTCCTCTTTCAGTTACCAGAAAAGTCAAGAATCACAAATCACACCTATCTGAATGCTAATCCTTCATTTAAAGGAACAAACAAATCATACTGTGTTGGGAGGCAAAGTAACACTTTCTCTCACACTCTCTAAAACATTTTTAGACATCATTATCATCTACAACCTTTTTTTTTTTTAAAAAAATCCCCAAACCAAACTGATGCTTGTAAAATTTTTATTTAATATAAATCATTGTATTGACAAAAAGCAGGGCTATATATATAAAATCGAAACACAATGAACTCAATATGCATGATTGGGCATGTGTGTTTTACATGTTCACACAATCTTGTTTTCCCCCCTCATACCTTCTGCCATCTTTTGTCCAAAATATTTTGCCAGGAAGTTCAAACAGTTGCTGACAAGATGGCAGCTGCTAATGAGATGGGGGGGGAACACTCAAACTTGATAATTTGAGGCATGTTCTTGATTAACTACATCCGAAACAACAACAAAAAAAAGCCACAGTGCTTGGGATGGATCATGTTCCTTAAGAGCTTCAAGGATAGCTCTTCAGAGGCAGAAAAGGCCTTTATTTGTCCTTGGGTACCATTGCTGCAAAGGCTGGGAACAAATTAGAGTATTTGGAGATAGAATTTTGCCAATTGCACTACTTTCATTATTAGTTATCATTTGCCCTTCTTTGTATGTTCATTTGTTTTAAGGAAAAGAAAAGCTGAGACTGGCACCAGAAGCTAGCTTCAGCAAAGTTTTCTCTGAAACCAGCCCTCTGTTGCAGAGGAGATTAGGAGCTGCTGAAAAGCCAAGTTGCCAATGTCTTTCTCTCTCTCTCTCTCTCTTTCTCCATAAGCAATAACAAAAAGGAACCTCTGTGCCTCTTTCATTGAGACAGAACAGCCTCCTGTTTGACCTATGCACAAAGAAGAGCTGTACTTGAGGCCAAAGGAACAGGATTTTGTCTCCCTCTTGGAAAGGAGGAGGGCCAAGCTGGTATCAAGTGGCTGGCATCATGAATTTCAAGGTCATTTCAAGCTTTAAGAAGTGGAGAGGCTGGTTACCTTAATGACTCTTCAGTTGTCTACTGCCAAGAGAGACAAGGGGCTGGCAGAGTTTGAAAGAGGAATGAATAAACCTTGGTTCTTTCATGTCACAGCCCTTATTATCCTGCTTTGATGGGGGGGGGGGGGAAGGTCCTGTCATTGTCTCTCAAGGAACTGTGAGACTCACAGACAGCTTATAAACCTTGCACTATACCTAATGACACTTTGGAGATAAATCAATTCCTATTTTTCTGATGTTGTGGTACGGGGGAGTGCAGAAGGCTATTAATACTGCAAATGTTTTTTTTATTCCTAATTTAATTAACTATAAGAGATTCTAAAAGTGAAAGGAGGTGAGTATTCTCCATTAGAAATTCTAGCATCTTGCAAGACAGAGGCATAGCTTTTAAAATTCCTTTGCAAGAGCAGATATTATCTTTTAACCATGTAGCAGTAATATTTGTGTCATTAATATTGAGACGGACTCTAAACATTTCCAGCATTGTGCTTTGTGAGAGTTGCTGCATAAATAGTTGGCTGCTTCTACACATTTCAAAATTCAATTCTGGTTCAAATATGCAAATTCATTATTAGATGTTCTGCATTTGGAAAAATAAAATAAAAAAATAAAAAATTCAGCAGCAGTACAATATGCAGTTTACATGCGCTCTTACATCTTACAAAATATTGAAATCCTGGAGAGCCATAATAAAGTGCCCCATGAACTGATTAGATAAAACCCAACAGCTGATATAACAGTAAATATGATGGCATCAGTTTCAATCATCAATCAGACTGGAAAAAAATCTGGAACCAGTTCACCCATAACTAGAGCAAAACAAGAATTATATTGCTGCTTCACAAAATATCAGGAGAACCTCCAGTCAAGAGGAATTTCATTTTTCCTATTGAAGAATGAGATTAACACCTTAAAAAGGAGCATCCCACTTAGGCATTATGTCTGTTTAAAAATAAAATTCCTTCCTTCCTTCCTTCCTTCCTTCCTTCCTTCCTTCCTTCCTTCCTTCCTTCCTTCCTTCCATCCTTCCTTCCTTCTCAATAGTCTAAAAATGATGTGGGCAGGAAGGAAAATTCAAAGAACCCTCAGTCTCATTCAAATTTAGTCATCCTTAAGCCTACTTGGAATCATGTGCACACAGTTCAGTGCTAGATTGTGGCCAGGAGTATTTAAGTATCAGGTGCACTGACAAATGCTTAGGAGCAAAATACATTTGTGCCAATCCCAATGGCAGATTAGAGATTAGTGGCATCAGTGTGAAACACAAAAGATGAAGCACAGAGAAAAAAATGACTATTCCATATCATCCATCTTATTATATGTACCAGAGTATTGTAATAGTAAATAGTAAATAGAGTAAATAGTATACTCCAAGGAAACTATCTGTCTTTCTGTTATATTGGCTCACAATCACTCACGCCCTAGTTACTTCCAGAGTGGACTATTATAATGTGCTCTACACGGAGTTGCCCTTGAACAGTATTTGGAAACTGCAGCTGGTGTAGAACACTGCAAGTTATATGTACTCCCACATTACAACTCTGCTCTGCATTGGATGCCAGTTTGCTTCTGGTCTAATTCAAGGTCTTGTTTTAGATTTAGATGGCTTATTTTATTAATCAATATTGTTCTATTTCTGCAAATTCCCTCCCCTGCTGCACCAACATGCTGACGCTTTCATTTACTTCTCTCAGTCTGGAAATGTACATGCAAGTTTTCCCACCAAACATGAGAGGTGCAGTAGCTTGGCTTAGTGACACTGGAGATGGTCTTTGCTGCAGTGGTTTGAGACTAGCACCATGTGGAAGGAATGAGTTCCCATCTCTTGCCTCAGCTTCTCCCCACCTAGCAGTTCGAAAGCAGATTACAAACAGGTAGATAAATAGGTACCATTTCGGTGGGGGAAAACACCACTTTGATCAGTAATATGAATTCAACCAGTGCCAGACCTGCCTAAATGTGACACCCAAATGTGAGGTGGTATCAGTGGTGGGAAAACCCCCGGAGGATGCTGCAGAACGCTGTCAAACCTTATGAGTGTGGAGCCAGTCCACTCTGTGGTGCATTCTGGATAGTGTGCAAGCATGAACAGAATGGATTGGCAATCACTGGCAGCCAAACTACTATGTTGTAATAGCAGTGTATTCCTGGCGAATGTAACATCGCCATACACTAACTAACTAACTAACTAAATATCTGCCAAGATAACTAGCTGACCTCATCTGGGCTCGTCATCTAAAGAAGACTCAGTTGCTTGATTACTGCTTGGGTGGCAGACGTCCATGGATGCCCAGGATACAGACTATATTGGAAATCAAATAGGCATCACAGAAGAAGACAATTTCAAGCAACTTTTGTACAGTTTGCCAAAAAACAATAATTATACAGCAGCTGTATGAATGTGCCCATGAAGTTACCAGAAGCCAAGCTTGAGCTGAAGGAGAATTTATCATTTCCTTCTCAAAAAGATATTGGAGCCAATTAGACTCTATCTAAATGATATGAGAATTTTATGTTTTGTTGTAACTAAAACACTCAGTTTTAGTTACATTGTTTGCTTCATGGTAATGTAATAAATATTTATTGCTGTGTCCAACCTTGAATTCTCCCTGAACTGGCCCATTTGTGAAAGGGGAAGAGAGTGAATTAAAAGATAGTAAATGAAAATGGGAGTTGGAACATGAATCTTTCTAAATTCAGAGAGCGATATCAATCTCTTTTGCTTTTTACTTAGTTTTTTTTTGTTCCTTCTACCTGTTATTCTGTTCTGTTATTCTATGGCCACCCAACTCACAACAACAAATAAAAAAGAAATAAATCCCCAAAGAATCTTGATCAAAATATAGCGGGAGAAATTGACAACTGAAGATGCCAATTGGTAAA